ATGCACGATGGCTGAACTTGCAGCACCAAGAACTGGACAACTGCTGTTGTAAAGTGTTCACAACCTTCACAAATAAGAAAAGAGCAAAATAAGCATTTCAATCTTGAAATAAAAAATTGAGTATTTATTGAACACGAGGCTCAAACAGAAAGTTATGCATCTTACCATCTACCCTTCATAATCTCTCACACAAAGAAACGACCTTCCCAAAGAGATTGTCCCTGAAACTGCTGTTGCAACACAGCAGATTGCTGATTTGCTTTCTGAAGTTGCTGCTGTTGCTCCTTGAATAGTTTCATCTGTTCAGAGAACTGGTAATCCTGCCAACTCTTCTCATTCTCAATTGGGACTTGCAATGTAGTTGTCTGCTTCCCAGGAAAAGGAAAGCTCGGCATCCCCATTGAGCTGCTGCTCTTGCTACCAATAGGGTAACCCTGTCCTGGATGATTAGAACTATTAAGCCCGGCCACACTTCTATTGACCAGAGGCAACTGATAGCCATCGAGCCAGCTGTAATCATCCATTTGGGGAATGGTAGCATTTTCGTTCTTAAAGGACATAGCAGATAGTGACTCATCAACAGTTTTGGATGGTACAGAACCAAAGCCAGGTGGAGGACCGAGATGCCGAAGAGGTCGACCTACTGGATTTTTCTTCAACCCAGCAGGTGAGACTGATGAAGGCTTCATGGATATGTTATCAGCTCCTAGAGACATGATTGAATCAAGCTTTGAAGGTACCACAGTTTCGGGTAACTGATTAGGGAAATTGCTGCCAGTGCCAAAACTCGAGTCTGGAAGGGAAACAGGAAAGGTTTGAGCTGGCAAAGCTCCAAAGTGTTTTTGCGATTCAGGTTTCTTTATGAACCCATTCTCGAACAAATTCAAATTACCAAGCCCATTCACAAGAGTTCCTTGTTCTGCCATCCAAGTGGTACTTGGTTGAACTGGTTGCAGATAACTAGAATTCACAAGGGAAGTAGGTGGCCTTAAGCTTGCACTGAAAGCATTCTGTGCAATATAACCCTCACGTCCGGTAGAGAAAGATCCAACATCACCCCCTATACTGGCAGCATTCATAGTAGATCCAAATACCTCTGAAGAAGTCGGATTTAAAGCTATCCCATCTAAATGCTTTTCAGTCATAGATGGCTTGAACACAATTACCTCATCATCCTCTTCTTCACCTTCCATGTACAACTGCGGCTTTTGCTCCAAGGCCCTAGGAGTCATTTGACCTGAAACTAGATTATCCTCCACTACACCACTTAATTTTGGGGCTTCCAAAGTAGTAGTAAGTGAAAAATCATCAGAAACTTGAGGTTCAACGCCAACAACAAATCTCTTCGATTTTGTGTCAAAGTAAATTCCCTCTTCCCCAATCCGGACCACATTAGCAAGAGCCTTTCCAGCCGCTATAATCCTCTGAACACGGGCCTTTTTTTCCTTATTGCTGTCGCTTCTGAAGGAATGCTTCCTTGAAAAATCAAGAATGAGTTGCGCAGGAAGAAGAGGAACAAATCCCCTCAACTCAAAGTCCTCAGATAATGCCAGCCGGTTAGCGGTTTCACTTTCATCATACCTGCTCATGTTAGAAAAACATGTCTCTTCTTCATCTTCATCAACAAACATAAACCCTGAAGATATGAGCCTGTTGAAGAAGGAGATACAGTTGTTCCAGAAAAATAACCTAGCACTCGCTTGTTTTTCTTCCAATTCACTTCCAACTGCAATATCTTGATGACAAGCCAACCATTCCACAAAAACCATGATACCAGGTAACAGATAGCTCGATGAAGGATCATTTAATTGGCTGCAGCGTTCAAGAATGTGGCCCATAAACTCAAAAGTAGCAGTAAATGCATTCTGCAGTAGGACCGAGCGTTGAAGAATTTCAGCATAGGACTGGTTCTCAGTTTCCCTATTCACATTGTGAATGGTGAAAATGAGAATAGCAACCATTCTGCCAATAGCCAGTCTACAATCAGTAGCATCTGACCCAAAATTGTACTCCTCATCAGTCCCAGAAGAAAGAAGCTCCAGCAAATCACCTCTAACCACAGCAAAAACATCCCCAAATGTCTCCAAGCTGATTCAAATTAGCAATAGAACACATCATTAAGTGTACCGAATATTTACAACACTACAATTAACAAGAAAAGTAATACCTTGTGCGTGTGAAGAGAATGCCATTTAGCCGAACAAATCGTATCCCAAATGCTCTGAAAGTTTCCAATGTGGTGGATGTTTTTTCCTTGACAGAACTTGCTTCTACTTTGTTATCCTTGGATGCAACCCTGCTTTCACCTCTGCCCCTTCCTTTCCCATTTCCACGCACTGAAGTTGTCTTGACAGAGGAAGCTCTGGCATCTCCGAGCAGCTGGGCAAAGCTCTGGCGATTCTGCCAAATCGATCATAAAATCAGTATTTTGACAAACATTTCATGTTTCATTATCAAGGAGGAAACAAGGATCAGGAGCAGGAGCAGGAGCAGGAAAAACCAGCTTAAGAATGGTTCTGTCATTCAAATTTGAACAAAAAATAACAGAAACATACAAAACATTAGAAGAAAATAGTACTTGAGCAAGTGCATGTACAAAGTGCAGGATATAATTGTCCATACAAAAGCTAAACTCCAGATATGCATGGAACTTAAGATAAATTCCCATTCTATTACTTCTTTCTAGCTTAAACCAATGGAACGATGGAACTCTCAACCTGCTATAATCAATTTACTGGCAGGGCTATAACATCTTGATTTCAAGTCGATACTGAACTTTATTTTATTACCCAAGAATCAACTACTTAACAATTGCCTCCATCCAATGACCACAACAGACCTCCTTCAAATGCACAAGGGGAGTTGTGTGGTGGTTGTAATAATGGTGAAGCAAGGAAGGAAAGGCAGTTAGAGGGATAAGATAGGGTCTCCGGTACTGTTGGTGTTTGATCTGGTAGAATAGTGGAAGGATATCAAATTGCCCTAAAATGTGGTGTCTAGAGGCATCGAGATCCAGATGTTACCGGTCGATGGTGGTGGGTTGAAAGAGGCATCCAGGTCTTGGCAGCCGATGGTTGTGGGTTGAGATGGTTGAGCTATGGGAATTAGTGAGATAGAACTACTTAGAAGGGAAGATCGTTGTGTCGAGTGCTGGAAACTCTGGTTTGTTAATGGTTATGACATGGCAGATTCTCCAACACAAGTTTTTGCCCAGGACCATACAACTCAGATGGTCAAAATAGACATTCCAAATACACAAAACAGAGACCCAGGAAGATATTCAACATAGAGAATCAGAGATTAACCAGTATTGACTGTAACCATGATTTATGCACAATTTAAGTAGCAACACTGCACTGAAATGAATAATTGTCTAAAAGCAGGAGCAAAAAGAAAATAAAGGCTCCTTTCGTCATAAATTGTTCTTTTGAAAAGCTCACCTTCTCAAATGCAATAATCAAGTTATCTCTAGCTGTTGTAAATGGACTATCAACTGCCAAGCTTCGAAAATACCGGTAAATGGCCACCAATTCATCACCAGAGTAGGAAGCCAAAATAGCAAGCTGAAAAGCAATAGATCACAGAATAAATCAGGCAAGCTATGTACTAATAACCTGTTCAAAATGAAAAAAAAAAAAAAGTAAATCACCAAGCAAATGGCCAAGAAATACAACACCTGGTGATGCGGATTGCCACTTGAAGGCCAAAGGGAAGCTGCTTGCATGTAGTAACTAGAAGCTGCTGCAAAGTCCCGAGATTTAGAATCACCTTCACCATACAAGCCCTTATAACGAGCAAGATCCCCCAGATAAATCAAACAACGATGACAGGATATCAATCCTTTCTTCACTTCTGCAGATTTATTCCCATCTTTACATAAAGGAATCTGATTCTCTGAATCATCGGAGAAATAACCCAATGGCAAACCATACTTCGCCCTAATCTTCAACATTAAATCATGATAAAATCCAGTGGCCTCTGACAGGAAGGTTTTAAATTGAGTACGGATCTTTGTAAGTCGATCAGGTCCACCACGTGTTGGACCTTTACCGTTCTGTGATGTATTTGATCCTGCTGAAACAGAAGCAGCAGCAGCATTGAAGTGTGCTCGCAATTCCTCAATTCTTCTGTAATGCAACTGCCACAAGGCATACTCTATTTCATGTTGTTCAGAAAAGGCATGATCTTCTAAGACAATAGCTTCATAGTTCTCCCGCATTTGTTGCCATGCATTTGGGTCAGAAGGAATTCTGGCCTGAGCTGCCTTACGACGCCTATTTTCCAGCTCAACATTCTAAAGGAACACATGAACCAAAATAAATGTAATAAATGAATACCACGCTTCACCGCAAGAAAGATATCCAGCTAGAAAACAAGTAACTGTAATACAACCACGGATATTATGCCTATTCAACTACTTATCATACAAATGACAGAAAATACAAGGGGACACATGAGCATACCTTGTTAAAAAGTTTTTGAACACGCTCCCTTGATGAATTATCTGGATTGTTATCCATCGGAATAGTCATTATCCATCAAATGATTGAACTGATGAACTTTAAAATCAGTAACCCCGTTGGCAACATACATCTAATCCGCAAAAGAACCTACAGCACATCAAAACCATCATGCATGAATATTTTGAAGTAAATCCTGCAATAGAATGCAAGTCTTTTAGAAGAAAAAAAAATCACATATACAATTTGCACTAACTAGTAACCATGAGATCAGGCTCCAGAAGGACTTATTTTAAGTACAACCAAGACAGAATCCCCTAAAAAGAGTTCTAAGTCACTTGATATTTTTTCCACAACAAACTCGATAGAACACCCCTTTAACCTCCTGGCAATAGCGGCAAAACCCTAAAACTGGTTAAATAAACTAATAAAAAATGGGGCTAAGTATAAAAACTCTCAGACCAGTAAACTTGCTTGATATGCTGCATACAGACAAACCTAAGAATTCTATCTTCATTTGCATCCAAAGAGTGAGGATTGAGATCTCAAACTAAAGAGAAATTGGTCATTTCTCTACCCTTTTCTGCTTCACCTTTTGCAAGGAGTTAAAAACAAAACTTCTTCTTGCAGACAAGTTGACAGGGACTGTGAGTTTCTCGAGCAGGAGAGGATAATGGACTATAGCCTTTTGGTTGGTCTTCACTTCAGAGAAGCAACAAACAGCTGCGACCATACTCCCCCTGGTTGTGTAACACCAACAGGTAATTACCAATTTAAGCCCTGTGCCATCATATACCATCATCATCTTTTAGTCATTAATTATTCTTGGCTGTTATATGTTATTGGCCTCTTTTTCTTGGTTAATTCCTTATCAAGAATTAAAGAAGCTATCACTTTTGAAACAACTAAGAAACGTCTCTCCACATTAAGCAGATAATGGTGGTGCAGAAGAATCTCTTCCCCGCCTTTCTAGAGCAGACATGGATCAACTGCTTCTGGATCCTGCAGGGTAATTAGTCATCCTATTCAACAAAAACATTACCGTTGTTCATCTACAATCTCTTACGATTACAATCAATCTCTCGGTAACCCTTCAGTGCTAAATATATTTACAATCTTTTGTCACCACAGGTGGGCTAGCATCAGATTGGGAGTGAATATGCCTGCCAAGGTTGAAAGGACAGAGAGGAAAAACGATGGCGAAATTCAGCTAGTAGGAGAACCAACTGGAGAATACTATGATGTAATAATATTCTTTAGCATCATAGACATACTTCAAGACTATGACATTTCCAAGAAGCTCGAGCATGCATACAAGTCCATCCAATATGATCCAACTTCCATATCAGCTGTGGATCCTAAACAATACTCGAGGCGTTTTCGAGATTACATATTCAAAGTTTTTGCAGAAGACATTTGAAGGATCAGCCGCAACTGCAAGCCTCCAATCCCTTACTTATGCTTATTTGTAGCACATCCATAAGGCTAACAAGATGGAGCTTGATTCATATACTAAGATGAAACGCCCACCAACAATTATGCATTGCTCCAATACGTCTTGGAGGACCAAACTGTGTCATAATGGCTGTGGCTTAGACGACAATTTCTTGTTATGTTCATTCTTTTTATTTCTGTACAAACATATTTCTTCCCCCTGTATTCTTTGATTGTTTACACACACACAGAGCACAGAGTTAGACATTCGTTCGCTAATCGCGATAGCGGACTGTAGACTTATAGAAAGAGGTGTATAAAATCTTGCCACCAGAAACTGTTTACAAGGTTCAGTGTTCTCATAATCAAGTCTTTATTCTTTGGTTTCTCAGCTCATGAATTGAAATAGTCATTCTGAGTGCCTATGACTGTGACATGACATTAGTAGCTATACAAATTGTGGTCTCCCTAACAAAAGAAAATTTAAAAAAATAAAAACCATCCATTTTTCTTCCTATTCCAGAATTAAATAACGAAGTTTTGATCTGTTTCATAATGTCCTTTGTCAACCATAAAATTCAAAAGGGTCCATTTTATGTCAAATACATATGAACCGAATTTGCAAAGTGATGATGCCTGAAGTAGACTACAAATTAATAAAGTTTGCACAATGAGCTACCATCCCATTTCTTTTCTTTTTTATTATTTTTTTAATAGAGGAATGGTGGAATTTAAGAAATGGAGAGGGGAAGAGAGATTTAAATTTGAACATCTAATTTATAGATTAGCCACTATATCAAGACCTACTCGACAATCCTTTTTGTCTTTTTAACCTAAATCAAAGAAAATTGGTGGCTCGAGTAAGAATCGGGCTAACAAGCCAAGTAAAATAGTACCTTGCTTGTCTTGTTGCTGTACTTGGTGGGTGTGGGCACCTCGATCTGCTCAGGACCTCGGGGTACCCCTATCTATTCAGGTCCCATCAGTCCGAGCATCTCGTTCAAATAAAAGAAATCTCGTTTCGTTTCGACCGAGGTCACTGACGAGACCTTTTGGATTAGTATTCCACCTCACCTACACCTATTTCTACGGCTCCTCAACACCTTGGCTGCCTACACGACTTAGGATTGGTAGGAATGTAGCCGCCAGGCACCCTACCTACCGCTCAGGTCTACACCTAACACCGCTGCCCTAGGCCTCCTCCTAGTGCCACGGAGGGAGTAGACTTCATCATTTTCCCCCATAGATTCCTCTACTATAAATACCCCTCTCACCCCTCACGAAAAGGGGGATTCACTACTACTGTTTATCCTTTAACTCCTTATCTATAACTGACTTTAGTATGACCGAAGGGCTAGACCCCAGCCATTCTCTACTTTGACAGGTGATCTCGTTGTCAACTCGCCTTGCGCACCCAAAAATCACCTCATCAGTGGGGATGGGTGTCGATGAAGAAAGTGAAGACCACAAGTATGGCTACCATTTTTTTTAGCATCAATCAGGTATAAGAATAGTAGCAGCAATCGAAGTGCACACCATCTAAGAACAAGACATAGGGTGCATTTGATAAAACTGATATCTGAATCTATTAATTTATTGAAGTGTAAATACTAAAATACTAACATTTGAATGCATTCTATATTAAATGATAATGGTTTATCACTTATTTTTTAGAATAAAGTTTTACCTACACAATTCAGACCGTCACTTAATTAATTAAGATGATCTATTTTTGATTATCAAACATTTCTAAACATGTTAAGATCTTAATTTATTAAGTTCAAATACTAAATTAGATTATCGAGCAGGACATCAGCTGGGCATGGTCTTGATATAGCATTTTGTCTAGGATTAAAATTTTGCTTTAAGTATAAACATTTACCTAGTGGGATATTCTAAACTTTTAATAATTGCTTGATCAACATTTTAAGGACTAGACTAATTTAGTAGCCTCTTACGTTTCTTTGATATGGTCAAAATCACAAACGCAGCGGACAATATATATTCTTTCCGTGTTTACTAACACACGTACACCTTCATGAAAAGGAACTTGTGAATGACAGGAATTTCTGCTTTCAAGTGGTATTTTTCTAGTTCATTTGCTGTGTAAAAAGATATAGTAATTTGTTGCACCACCAACTTCATAACGAAACAATAATGACTCCCATCAACTAACTGTGTTTTGTTACTCTATCCGTCCCACTTTGATAGTCCTGGTTCTTTTTTCCACACAGTTTAATAAAAAGTAATTAACTTTGATAGAACAATCAATTTGGGTAACTATTTTCCTAAAATACCCTCACATTTATTAGAGTACAATTTTATGGGAACTTGAATTGATGGTAAAAAAAGAATCAACTCTCATTAAATGGAGTAGATTTATAGTAACAACAACTTCCATTGAATAAGGATATTTTAAAAAAATTAAAATACAACTACATTCTTCAATTGAAAAGTGGACTACAATTTGGGACAGATGAAAAAGAAAAATAGAACTATCAAAGTGGAACGGAGGGAGTATTATTATTATTGTTGTAATTATTGTTATTATTATTCTTATTGTTATTGTTATTATTATTATTATTCTCATTGTTGTTGTTGTTATTACATAATGAAATAGACATGGTAAAGAGAGATACATTTCTTTTACATCTCCAACAAAACGCAATATCACATTGTCTCGCGAGACTAACAAGAATGAATGACAACATCAGGTTGCGCCAGGGAAGCCCATTTCCCAGCAACAATTGGTAGCATCTCTACCACCTTCAAATGCAATTAAACAAAAATGGAAAGCAGTGATCAAGCAGGAAACGCTTGTAAAACCCTCTACCCTTTCCGAAGCAGAACCAGAGAATTTAGTTCCGTCCCCTCACCACTCAGAAAATGCCATCAATTACCAAGTACAAAGATTTTCAGTGTTGTCTGAAATGTTCAGTTAACAAAATTCCTCCATCGCTTCTGGCATTGTCATTCCACACCAAACTAAACATCCTTCAATTCAGCTGCTAAAACAATGTCAAACTAACAAAAGGAAGAATTTCTCTCTCGTTTTGTCACACACTTGCAATTTAGATCCGCAGCACAAGGTTATTCTGATCTAGCAGTAGTTTCATAGAGAGGTTACACTAGTATTCTTCCCCCCCCCCCCTCCCACAAAATATCATAATTCAGACGTTTAAAATATGCAAAGGCAACCAATGGACAAAAGATATCTGCTTTCATAGATTCGATAACTGAGAGGACATTTGAAAGATAGAATAAACATCAAAATAAGTAACATATCTCTAGACGTCAAAGAGAGAGATTCCAAGTCTCAGTGGTAATACCACTTTGTCCACACAGCAGAACACAAAAGCACAAATACAGCATCAGTCTATATTATCAACCCTGAAAGTTGAATACTGTATGCGTTCATACTCGCATATTTATTGCCAACCAACGTCCACAAGATAACTCCAATTATAACATAACCATCTTCCATGATTCTCACTTGAGAACTTCTGGGCAGACATGGGACTGCCAAGAAACTTACCTTCAGCATTCAACCAATGGGAACTGCTCATCATGGCATGCCCGGCAGAGACTACTACACTCCTCATAAATACCTTCTATGAGCCAGGTAAATTTGCTAGTATATCTTTTATTCCCTTCCAGTTTCCCACCACAATCCCAAATCTGAAGTCACGTCCAACCCATCCAACCAGACAAGGCACTTAATATCAGAAATCTCCCAATTTTTGCACCTATCGACATCATAATCAGTGTCAACCAGCCTGGAAAGCTCGGCACCAGCTGCACAGCAATTTAAAAAAAAAATGTGTTAGCAATGTCACAAGAAAATATTCTATCACCACTCACAGTACTCATAAAGAATTGCACGTACTCATAAAGAATTGCACACACATCCTCAGAACATCACAAAGATTCTTTAATATATAGAAGTGCAAGGACAGGAAATGATCCTCATTCCCCCACATCCTCCAACTTATCTATAGCATAGCTTGTAACAGGTTACATAGAATGGTAAAACAGACCAGCAACGCAAGCAAAGAGATGAGTAGAGCGTGTAAGATGCACAATGCGCCAATCATTATATGCCCTAACATAAATCTCCAATTATTCTTTTAGTCCTTAAACCATCTCCATACAACTGCACAGTGGTCAACAAAATCAGACTTTACACTTGCCACAGAGAGGGGTACAAAAGATATACCCGTTCAATAGCAGGTGCCTGCTAGATTCCAAGACCATCCATGCTCCAAGAAAAACTTAATAACATTGGCCACACTGCAAATGCACGATGGCTGAACTTGCAGCACCAAGAACTGGACAACTGCTGTTGTAAAGTGTTCACAACCTTCACAAATAAGAAAAGAGCAAAATAAGCATTTCAATCTTGAAATAAAAAATTGAGTATTTATTGAACACGAGGCTCAAACAGAAAGTTATGCATCTTACCATCTACCCTTCATAATCTCTCACACAAAGAAACGACCTTCCCAAAGAGATTGTCCCTGAACTGCTGTTGCAACACAGCAGATTGCTGATTTGCTTTCTGAAGTTGCTGCTGTTGCTCCTTGAATAGTTTCATCTGTTCAGAGAACTGGTAATCCTGCCAACTCTTCTCATTCTCAATTGGGACTTGCAATGTAGTTGTCTGCTTCCCAGGAAAAGGAAAGCTCGGCATCCCCATTGAGCTGCTGCTCTTGCTACCAATAGGGTAACCCTGTCCTGGATGATTAGAACTATTAAGCCCGGCCACACTTCTATTGACCAGAGGCAACTGATAGCCATCGAGCCAGCTGTAATCATCCATTTGGGGAATGGTAGCATTTTCGTTCTTAAAGGACATAGCAGATAGTGACTCATCAACAGTTTTGGATGGTACAGAACCAAAGCCAGGTGGAGGACCGAGATGCCGAAGAGGTCGACCTACTGGATTTTTCTTCAACCCAGCAGGTGAGACTGATGAAGGCTTCATGGATAT